AGAGAGAACTCATATGTTCACAGGAAGGACATGCAAACTCCACAGGAAAAACCCCAGCCCTGGGCTCCAAGCCAAGACGCTCTTGCTCCAAGGCAGCAGCGCTGCCAACTCCCCCCTTCATGCAACCCACAGTGAAAATAGTCACTGGTAATTTGAGGAAAAGAAAAGTTGTAAACTTGTCAAGTAACCTGCCAAGCGGCCCGCAGCAGAACTGAAGGAGCAGGAGAAATTTCTGGCAAGCGGTGGCTGTGACAGTCATCCTCTGTGTTATTATGTCTGGAATAAGAAGTGTGGTTGGAGCCAGCAGTGTGTTCTTCAAAAGAAAACATCAGGGCCTGGCTACAAATTTGTAGAAATATTGTGGGAGAATGTGTGCTAATGAAACAGAGCTGAAAGGAAGGATCGCATACCCACAGTGAAACACGGCGGTGGCAGCGACACGATCATGCATCGCTTTCCTTCAAAACCGATGATGAAGCGGAAGATGAGTCCAGGCAGACGCAAATCAACAACAGAACGACTTCCTCCAAGGGTAGTTGTAGATAATGCTACATGTGCACATAAAACCCATATTAAGATATCTAATGTAAAGCTTGATGGTCCATTAACGAATTATTTTCATTAAATATCTCTAAATGGGAGTTTTTAAATTCAAAGGTTCATTGACGAGGAGATCATTTCAGAATTTGCACTCTTATGCACCAAAGTTACTGCACCTTTTTTATTTTATAGTGTTCCTCTTGTACATTTGAATGGTGCAAAAAGAACCATGTCACAAAGAACGAGATGTACAAGAGAACAAAAACACGTGAATCATAATGCCGATTCAATCCACTTGTAAGGAAAAGAAAACTACAATCATAAACCAAATTATTCTTTTTTTTTTAAGGTAGCACTTACACGAAGTCAGTTCCACGGTTGTTACAAGTGATCATGGCTAGTTAATGGCTAAAAGAAGGGATGTTACATATTGTGGTTACACCAAAAATAAAGAACTGAATTTGTTGCTTTGTTAAAAACTGGGTGATGTACTGAGTTTGTTGCTTTCCTTATTTAAATTATTTTTAAACAAGATACATTATTTCAACGCACTGTGTGGTGTCATTAACCGTCATCTCTTCAGTCAGACGGTTATCTTTAGTATGCTGGAACACATTAATGCCTGCAGATTTACTTTCGCACCACTCTGATTTGGTACCGAAGCAAATCTCTCTAATCATTGTTGCTTTCATCTGCTCCCTGTCTGAACCCAGCCAGCTTCTGATCACAGCTCAGCAATTAGACACCAGAGGGTCAGATGTTACCTACAGAAGGACATAAAAACCACATATGATGCAAAGTGAACACCGCAGTTAAAAGAGCGGGAATTTAAATAGATGTAAATGAGGCTGATGCAACCCGGAATGGATGTGCAAAACGTTACTGAAGGAGAAGTAATCTCAGATTGGTGCAGCATTATCTCAAACTGAAAATTAAAACATATATGCTGTATGTCATCTTTAATTGAAGTATGTTTACGCATTCATCGGATGCAGGGGAAAAAACAGCAGCCTGCTTCTTCTTAAATACACTAAATGCAACAAAGAAATGCTGTCACCTTCTTAAAATAATAGGCTATGTCATATTTTGCCAAAAGAAGGATTACACACAAAAATAACAAATATAAAAATTCTTTTGGCATAAAAAATAACTTAGACTATTATTTTAGGAATGTGACAAAATACAATGCTTGTATTTTGTGCTATTTATCCTCCCATAACACTAAAATAAACCACCAGACCTGGCAGAGGCTGGATATTTTTTTATATTAGCTTTTAGTGAAATTGTGAGCACTTTGTGCTTATTGTAACTGCATATCTTCTCATTGCAGTCCACAAAAATACTGTGTGTTTCATCGAGAGTTTTGTTAAAGCCAACAGTGGGTTGCAAATTTAACAGGCTCTGTGTGATTGTTAAGCAAATACACAAGATTATCACACATATACACACATATCACACACGCTGCTTATCCTCACCGCCTCATTAAAAATATGCATAGAATGTGTTCTTTAATAATAAAAAATATTACTTTTTTTATCTGATGTCCAGTCACTATTCACGTAAGTGAGAGAGCAGCTATTTAAAGGCTCCACTAACCATAGGTTGATGTGTTCCTGTAGAACTGTGAGTCAGAGAGTTGCAGAGACAGAATCACGCAAACATGGCAGTGGTTTTCTTTGAACGTAGCCGTGACTCATGTTGGGAAAATTCCTCATCTAAACACTGGGCCGAGTCACCAGAGTTCTACATAACGTAGGAGAGAATGGCTGACTTTTCTTCCTGCTGGAAGAAAACGAATCTCCGCAAACCTACAGGAAGCACCCACGTTGCATTTTATCAATCAAACAAGAGCCTGCTAAAAAAAAAAAAAAAAAAGCAAATGAAAAGCTGTGGCTCCTACTTCAACTATGATGCTCAAGAATGCTGCCATGAATGAAGAATGGGTTTTACATCCTGTTTAGAGCCATTTTTAGATAACTCTGGGACGTGATTATGTACATTTATTCACTGCAAATAGCCATGTTATTTTGAAGAATGATCTTATAACCAAAACAGAAATCAGCTTTTGATTATGAACAGCACAGGTGAAGCCGTGAAACAGTCCAGTAAACTCATCTGGAGAGTTGTTGGTATAAAAGAGGGACAGATGTGCTTTGAAATGCTCCCAAAATATAAGAAATCTGCTGCTGAGAACATTGGATCAGGAAAAACATCTTTTCAGATTATCAAGAACTGCAAGGTGAAAGGTCAGAGGCCGTAGCAAAAGGTCAATAACATCCAAGAGTGTTGAGCAGGCACCAGAACAATCTCCTACAAGGAATGTGCTAGAGATTTGTGTTACCACCAGTACAGAGCTTGAACAACAGCGGCAAGTGAATATTAATTGCCTGCAGTTTTGTTGACATCTTTTAATTGTATGTAAATCACTTTGTGTTGCTCTACCTGAAATGTGCTCTGTATATAAACATTAACCATGTCTCCAACAACAATTTTTTTAAATATGGTGTTGGAAACGATTGATGGAAACGGCAAAAATCAAAATAATTTTCTTTTGTACGCCTCAGGGGTTCATTGTGTGTAATCGAGGCTAAGAGGGAAAACGGTTTCACGCTTGCTTGAGGTGGTTTTGGGCTTTTCTGAAAAAGAGTTAATATGCTAAAGTGGAGATGGAAACACGTTTGCCGAATAAGTTAGGATGTAGCAAACATTTTCCTCACATGACTGACCAGCCATTTCTGCTGTCGGCATTTGCATTTCTTTTTCTCCATCTTTTCTCCGCATTGTTTGTAGCATCGACAATACTAGCTTTTATGACAAACCAATCACAACTTGCCTAACAGCAGCATAATCCTGGAAACCTGTCTTTGTTTCTCTCAGGCATGTGGATGAAGCTAGTTTGTAGTCTCTGCTTCTTTATTATCGATATGCGTGACGTCAGCATCTGGATAAATTAAGCTTAGAAGAGCCTGGCTGATTTGCTCCCAAACATGTCAGATTTACATTTCTTTCTTGTGACATTTTAAAAGTTTGCTTACAATTCATTCACATGACAACCGGGTGGAAACACAGCTGATTTGTTCATTAATCTCCTGTATACAACATCAATATGCAAAAAAAAATCTAATTTTAAAGAATAGAAACAGAAAATCTGTGTTACTTCATGTTGTTGTATACAACTTTGCAGCAGCAACATCAACTAAAGCTTTTTGTTTTTACCTTTCGAACAGCTGGAAGTTTCAGCTTGAATTGTTTTATCTAGAAGTCCTTTGTTACAACTTTAATCAGGGGGGAGAAATAAATTAAAGTGAACCTGTGTTAACACAACACGATGGCGTGTAACAATATTTTCCGGAGAATTATAAAGCTGTCAAATACTGTGTTTTATGTTTCAATTTCTGCCACCTCCAGCACACACAGGACATTTTGGATTTCTCTCCGAGTGACACCTCTTGCTAGACACTCATCTTTTGCTATTTTAGCAACTCCAGCACAAGAACCATTCTCCACTGGGCCTCTCTGCCTGTGTTGTGTTGGTGTGCTGAGCTTGCTGCTTCTTTAGATTTGAACTGGAGTTGACAGTCGCTGACAGACATTTATTATAACCCTGCACAGTATACAGTATGCTGCTGCTGTGGGAAATTTTTAATGATACATACTTTGATTTATACACGCACAGACACACACACACGTATACCAAATAGATATATTGCAATATTTGTTGGCTGTGCGATAAAGATGACATGTCTCTGGGATCAGCTCGCTGCAGACATCACCCCATGATAAGAGATGATTGTTCACTTCACCCAGGGGCGGTTTTCACATGGGTGGTCTTCTCCGTTTTCCCCTCCTTCTGCCTCCAACCCCTCCTCACTCCCAACTGAGTAAAACTATTCAATCAGATTCAGTTCAGTGAAGTCTCTCAAAAAGCATTTAAGCTGGTCTCCCGGTTCTCTACGGCGAGCAGGGGAAACGTCGATTCCCCAGTGACTGCATGTGGAATAAAGCAATGGAAAACTTGCTCAGGGCACAACCTTTTTATTGTCACCCTGAGCAACCTATCAAAAAGCGCCAATGACTTCAACTATTAGAAATTGTATGTTCTTTTTGAAAACCAAATGAAAAATGTTGACAACGTATTCAGTAAAATTAAGATTATAATAATAACACTGATTGTGTCCAATAGTGTCTTCAGTCTGTTATGAGCATTTTTTGTTTTCTTCTCCACTAAGCACACAGCAAAAGCAGCAATCACCATGCCTCTCTCCTGCTTCATTAAATCGGCTCCTGACTGCACCGCACGCGTGCACAGACGTTGAACCCCAAACACGCAAGAGGGGGCCACTAATGTCCGCGCGCACACAGTCGCTCCGTGATCATGTTGACATCCCTGTCTCTCCTCCTCCATCCCGAGTCTTATGAAGTCACTGGCCAGCAGCCGCTCAGTGGGACTGAAGCTCGGGGGGAGAGAGCTTCACTCTGCTTAGGATCTGTGGAGCGACCGAGGCGCCTTGCGCAGTCCGCTTTAGGGTGACCAGCTGCAGCAGCCTCTCTTCAGCCTCCTCTCTCTGGAGACCGTCAGGAAGAAGTGCCCTGCAGCCGGAAAACATGCACCTCACCTCCTATACGATCCAACATCCCGGTTTTTTCTTTATGAGGAGGTGAACCTTGCGTCGGGAGGGATCGTTTTTCGGTCTGCCTGTTTGTCTCCCTTTTCCTCTCTTGTCTTACAGTTCACCGCTCGATTTTTTAAATTTTTAATTATTATTATTATTATTTTTTTAGTCTTCATTAACGAGGAGCCTTCGTTTCTCAAAGTCTACCTGCTTGTCCAGCACCCATGAATTCGGATAAAAATGCGTACCTCGGCAAAGACAAGGGCATCATGCGGAAGAGAGCTCTGCTCCTTCGGAAGGGTTGCAGCTTCGAGATAACCAG